CTTTTAAATGATGTCACTGCTTCTAGAAAACCTGTTTCTTGAAATGTATAATATATGTAATACCCCTCAGATTATCATCCCTTAGAACTTAGAAGTCAACATAAGTTCCTACACCAGATTCTAGCTTCTAAATTTCTAATAAAAATAAAGTGTTGCTTCCCAAAAGCCGATTTCAAAAGCTAGCTGTTTGCTTCAGCTTTCTGCTTCTGAGGCAAAAGGCAGAAGCTGGCTGAAACAAACAGAGCCTAAGTATCACACATTAGATATCATTTTATACAGGCTGTACACAGTAATGAAAATTGGCAAATGTTAGCTTATTCAGTCATGTCAAGGGCGTCAATGCGGTAGGCGCCGGCGTTGATGACGGCGGCGACTCGGTACGGCCCGTAGAAGCGGGGCTTGAGTTTGCCCGTGGTTGGAGCTTGGAGGGACGCTGCAGCACGCTGACGGAGGCGGAGCCAGACCCAGTCGCCGACGGCGTAGTGGACCTCCCTGTGGTGCTTGTCGTAGTAGGCCTTGTACACCGCCTGAGCCTGCTGAAGCCGGTAGCGGACGTCGGCGAGCAGCTCGTCACGTTCCTCCATGGACTTGGCCACAGCTGCAACCCTGGTGTCGCCGGGCTCGTAGGAACGGATCGTGGGCGGGTCACGGCCGTAGACGATCTTGAAGGGCGTGTCTTTGAGCGCTGTCTGGAACGCTGTGTTGTAGATGAACTCCGCCCATGGGAGCCAACGTACCCATTGCCGAGGACGGTCACCGGTGAGGCAACGGAGGTACATGACGATGACCTTGTTCGCGGCCTCTGTCTGTCCGTCCGCTTGTGGGTGGAACGCCGACGTCATATGGAGCTTGGTGCCCGTGAGCCGCATGAGCTCGCGCCAGAATGCGGACGTGAAGATGGGGTCCCGATCGGAGACCATAGACTGCGGGACGCCATGGAGGCGTACAATCTCTGCGAAGAATGCTCGGGCCACCGACTCCGCCGTGTACGGGTGCGCGAGGGGGATGAAGTGGCAGTACTTGCTGAAGCGATCCACCACCGTGAGGATGACAGACTTGCCGCCCACGCGCGGGAGCGCCTCGATGAAGTCGAGCCCGACATCAGTCCAGACCGCCGTCGGGATGGGCAGCGGTAGAAGGAGACCCGCGGGGTGCAAGTGCTCGGACTTGTACCTCTGGCAGGTGGCGCAGGCGTGGATGTGATCTTGCACCGTCGTGCGAAGATTGGGCGAGTGGAAGTCCCGGCGGAGGCGATGGAGCGTGCGCTGAACACCCTCATGTCCGTCGTCGTGGACGGCGGTGAGCACCTCGTGGAGCAGTGGTGATGCCGGCGGAATGTAGAGGCGGCCGTTGAATGCAACGAGGCCGTCGAGGAGCGACCAGGGAGCCGCGCGCGTACCCGCCGCCAGCTCGTCCTTGAGCGCCACCAGAGCCGGATCGGTGGACGTAGCTTGGCGAAGGCGGTCAATGAAGTCGAAGCGGGGGCCCGAGATAGCCAGGGTCACGGCCTCCTCCGTGTCGCGGCGAGAAAGGGCGTCCGCGCTCGTGTTCGTGTTCCCGCCTTGTACTCGGCGGAGAAGTCGAAGCCGAGGAGCTTGCCCACCCAGTGGTCTTTGTGGAATGGTGGCTGTTACCGATCCAAGAGGAACTTGAGACTGAAATGGTCAGTCCGTACCACGAAGCGGTGTCCCCACAAGTATGGCCTCCAATGGCGGATGGCGAGGACGAGGCCAATGAGTTCACGTTCGTACGCCGCCAAGGACGCATGGCGTGGCGCGATCGGGCCGGTGAAGAACGCCGGTGGAGTCTTTGGTCTGAAGAACCGCGACCGAACTGCAGAATTCGTGACCAGCGTCGCACTCGACGACGAAGGCGCGGTTGAAGTCGGGCAGGGCGAGAACAGGCGCCGTCGTCACGGCTGTCTTGAGGGCGGTGAAAGCCGCAACAGCTTCCGGAGTCCAGGAGAAGCCTTCCTTGCGGAGGAGGGCGGTCAAGGGGGTGGCGATCGTGCCGAATTCCCTGACAAACTTGCGGTAGTACCCTGCCAGGCCGAGGAAGCCCCGGACCGCCCGCGCCGAGCGATGGCATGGAGTGAGATCTGGGGCTCCCCTGGAGTGGCCTCGTCTGGCTCAGAGTCGTCGGCGTCCTCGGCCGCTGCCAAGTAGAGGAGGAAGATGCGTTGGCAGACGCGGTTGTGGCCTCGCCCAAACTTCTCGTTGCAGTTGAAGCAGAGGCCTAGGTGGCGGCGCTCTTGCATCTCTGCCTGCGACAGCGCCATGTGGCGGCCTCGACGATGACCGGTTGTGGCGTATTTGGCGTGCAAGGCCGTGTTGAAGCGCCGCTGAGCGCTAGGCACGGGTGGTGGCGGCTGGTAGGAGGCCCTTCGGTGATCACGCCGGGTCGTGTGGTGGTGGCCTTGACATGCAAGCGGCTTCGCTCGCGTGAGCTCCAACTTGGGCGAGGCTCATGGCGGCAATGAGGGCCGAGGTTGTGGACCTCGACGTCGAGGCTAAGTGGCGGCTGGAGGCCCCCCGGTGAAGAGTTGACGCGCTGTTTCCTCATCGAGGCGCCCGCACGAGGGGGAGGAGCGCTTGAAAACGTTCTGGTACTCCTCGACGGTGCCGTGCGCTTGCACGAGGCCAATTCGTGGAGGGGATTGGAGCGCAGCGGAGGTCTGTAGCGGAGATGGAGAAGATCCTTGAAGCGGCGCCAGGAGGGAATGCCCTCGTCTGTCTGGACCTGGATATACCACAGCTGGGCGCCCTCCTCCAGATTGTAGGAAGCCATCCACACTTTCTCCTCCTCAATGATCCTTTGTTGGTGGAAATAAGATTCGCACCGGTTGAGGAAGATCAGCGGGTCAGACTTGCCGTCATAGTGCGGGAAGTCGAGCTTTTGGAACCGCGGTGGCCGATCTTGGCGGTGGTCGAGAGGGGACACCGGGGTGCGGAAGAGGGCGGCCACGTGCGCGGCCGTCACGGAGGGGGCCAGCCGCTTGTAGGCGCGGCCCTTGTTCCAGCGGCGCGTGGAGATGACGCGGCCGAGCTCCGCGACGATGTCCGGGGTGGATGTGGAGGCGACGGCGGCGGCGGGGCGGGGGACGGGCGGGAGGCGGCGCATGGTGGCGGCGGCCTTTAGGGTTCAGGGTTCTGCGGGGCGGCGGCGACACGGAGGCGGCGGCCGCGGCGAAGCGGAACGAATGGCCCGACCCTAATTCCTGTCGCTCTCTCTAATACTCCACGATAGCCTTTATAAAACGGGTACGCTCAATCCCGTCGACTCCGTAGGATTCGGGTCTGGCGGTCGGCGGCCCCTCCCTCCCGCTGCGCCGTCGCCTCTATCCGCTCCCTCCTCTCCCCGTCTCCCGCCGCCCTCCCCTGCCGCTGTGGCGCCGTCGTCGCCTCCTCCCGCGACGCCCGAGAATCGATCTGTTGCGGCCGCTTCCCCGACGTCGAGGGGAGGACAGCTGCGCCATCTTCTCCACCACGCCGCGCCTGTCTTCACCTTCGCGTTCACGCAAGGAGGATGCCCTGCGGCTGGCCGGTGTGGATCTGAGGCCACCACTTCCAGAGCATCGCCCGACCCTGTTTGCACTCTGTCAACGGCCACCACCGTCAAGCCGTCACCGTCCGCACAGACCCGCCCGGTGAGCACTATTATTTGCCCAGACGAACCTCATCCTTTCTTGCATTTCATATCACTGGCTGATGACTACTCGGACATAATTTTATCTATTGTCAAATATGCAACTAGCTGCAGTTTACTTATTCATGCATCAGCATACACATACCTTCATAGATGAACGTAATTTTATCTATAATGGATTCGTACAAGCCAGGGCCTATATGACCAAATGCACTCCTACAGAGCATGATTATTTTAAGAATAGAGTTGAAATTACCAGCTTATGAACTGATGGGACTAGTACATTCGACGATTATATACTACTTGTGATGGTCGTCAGTTCCTTTTTTCTAACTACTCATTGGCAATTCGCTATTATCAGGTTTGATCTTGGCCTTGTCCAAAAAGTCAGTGCCAGTAGCCCTGTCACCGCAAAATCAGAGTATGTTACGTTCTACAATTTGTTTTGCTTGTACAGTGACAACAATTAATTATCTGGAGGATTATTATTGTCACTACCATGCTAGTCTACTTTAATAATCCCATATATGGTATAGAAGTCTACTTTTATGTCTATTACTAACTGCGAAAATGTACTACTATCGACTAGTATTTAATTGTGCACTGCATCATAGACTCGTGAAAAACTTGAACATTTTGATTCCGTAGAATATACATACGGAAAACTTCTTCTATCAAAGACTTATACTTAAGGTGAACTCTGATTAGCTCTATTATCTGTCCTTATTGTACACAACTCAGCGCCTTGTTCCTTGCCTACAGTTTAATTTTGTTGCTTGTAGTAACTTTTAAGCTAAAAAATGGCCTAGAACTAAGGTGATACAAATTTGAAATAAACCGAAGTATGAGGGATTTAAAATGTATGTTAAACTACGAATGTGGATACCTTATGCTAAAACTGCCTACCATAATTTCAGATCCATTATTCAATTTATAAACCCTTTTGCTATTTAACAAACCTGAATTGAATTACCTTCTGTTTAAATAACATGAGCTTTCCTGCTCGCTGAGAGGTCATCGACCCTTGAGTACATAAATTTGCCATAACTGAAAACCATCATTGCAGGACCTGATGCATGGACCTTTCATCTCGAGTTACAATATCAACAATTAATAATTCTGCTGCCATTGTGAATCATCTGTTTTTGGTCTGCTAAGACGTTACTGCAGCAATATTGAATTGCCTCCATTTGACCATTTGTTCCTGTCACGTTTAAATTGATGAAGGTGAAAAAAAGCCATAGTCTGTGACTGCTGCGGCTGGTTGCAGCTGCTGCTGGCTTGGCTATTGCAGCCAGCTTGCCGAACACCCCCGCAGTCTTGGGCAGAGGGAGTACTCAAAACCCCGACTGCCGATGGATCTCCTCTCCGCTGCGTACGGCGCTACCTCCGACGACGAGGATGCTGCTGGTCCACCCTCCTCCACGCCGGTTGCCACCGGGTCCGCCTCCTTCGCTCCACCTCCCCTGAAGCGGCCGCGGTGGGAATCTCACCAATACCTCCCTCCAACCCACTGCTTCCCGCAACAGCCCCTGCTCAACGCAGCGACACCGCTGGCATCTCCATCCAGTGGCAGGTACGTTTCCAAGAGGGAGCGTGCTCTCCTGGCTTCATCGCAGGCACATGTAGAATCCGGATCACCCCTGCCTCCGCGGATGAGTATGGAGTTTGATTGCGCAGGTGAGCTTTTTGGGCCCCCATTGCAGCAGATTGAAAGATGCTGATTATCCTAGCATAAAATTCGTCCCGGGTTGCTGGTTAGCTGCTCCCATGGGAAGACACCAGCTTCACCAGACTGCTTGCTGGGTTCAGGATAGTTTTATGTGATTAGTTCTGATAAATTGATTTGTAATAGTGTAGTGGATCCCAGGATGAATTTAATCTTCCATGATTAGATGTCTGAAATGGTTTAAACTGTTTGAAGAACAATGTTCAGGGGTCTTGGATAAAGGCTGATAAAAAGCTTGTTTCGTAATATCCAATTGTTGTGTGAGAAAACCGAAGTGCTTTGTTTCAAGGGTCCTGTTTTCTGTTATCATGATGATTTCACGAGGAACTAGTTTAGGGAGTGACACATCTGTACTTTAGTAGTATTTTTATATGTTGCTTGAGCAGCCCATTTTCTACCTTCTGTATTTCTGTAACAGTGAACATGTTGTTACAGATGGCTCTATCACCTATACAAATCTACGAGCTGACATTTTGCATTCCTTGCGATGCCAACCAAAGCCTGGACCAAGCACAAGTTTCCCTTTGAAGCTCTCAGTTTGTTTGAAGGGTCACACTAAGGCAATCAACTGTGTAGATTGGTCACCAAGTCATGGTTAGTAATTATTCTTACATAGTTCTGCTTCAATGATCTTTACTATTCTGTTTGACTTATGTTATTAATGAGTAAATGTTCTTAGATCTTTATGAGTTAGCCATTCTCTAGGGTCGTGCATTAGGATATTAAGAGAATGCAGAATTCTCCCCCTTCTAATCAAGACAATGCATTGGTTTTACAGCAGTCATGGGGATTTGGGGTATGCAATTTGAGATACAATAAGGTGGTTCAACATGATACGTTTCTCTACTTCTCTTATAGTAACCTGGAAACAAAGTGGGTGCCCGGTGCTGTGCTGGTATTGATGTTGTTACCAACATTAAAATTGAAACTGGCAGAGTATTATCTATAAATTTTGGCTATGAGAAGTTTTTTTCCCCTATTCTACAAGAAAATGGCAATATTAGACGTTGCACTGGGTTGTCCTTCCACCATACAAACATGGATTTCTCTACTAACATGTTTGACATGTTCTTCTGGCATTCTCAATGTTCTCAACAATCTGGCTACTAGCCCTAGTAGATTAGCACTGAGCCATCTAAACTCACAGTACGAATGATGATGCTATGAAGGTACACGGTAACATTGTAAGTCTAAGAAAACTACAAAAGGTTGTCTTGTAGGGAATTTTCACCTTTTTGCTTTTGAATGCTTATATTAACTCTTTAGAGAAGGCTATCAGGACTGAACTGACCATTCTGAAATTCTGATCTTATGCAAACCAAGAAATATCACCTCCACTGTCCCCTTGATCTTCACCTTCGATTTTGTACTTCTAATCTTCTATGGAAATGCTTACAATCCATGTTTCTTGGTAATTTGATGTCAAATAGGGATGCTTTTGAAATATTACATTTTGGCAATATCTTCATGGAATTTTCCTTGTTATTCTTCGTGCTTCACTTTTAACTAACACTATTAATAATATGGTGCACATGTCGATTTGATAGGAAGTACCAATGCATGAGATGAGTTGTTTCATAGAATCACCAGCTTCAAATTTTGTTGGTTGGTTAATTGAGATATTGCTTTTGACATACAGTACAAAATACCCATGATGATTTTGCATGGCTTTTATTTAAATTAGTCTCACTCAATAGACATTCACAAAGAAAAGTATCTGCAGGGCATCTTCTTGCTTCTGCTGGAATGGATCACACGGTTCATGTATGGAACGTATGGGACAAGGGGAATACCACTGCTCGTGTTTTGAAACATCACACTGCTGCTGTAAAGGATGTAAGGTGGTCCCTTCATAGGCCCTTTTTACTTTCTGGAGGGCTTGATTGTTCTGTACAGCTAGTCGATGTTGTTGAGGGAAAAGTAATGAAAGTATTCAAGGAGGATCAATCTGTGGAGGTTATCAAGTTCAATCCAAGCAACCCCGATATCTTCCTATCTGGTGGGTCCAAGGGTTCCCTTAGACTCTGGGATATTCGATGTGGTCTGGTTACAAAAGAATTTCATAGAAACCTTGGAACCATCCTTGACATTGACTTCAGTGCTGATGGGAGACAATTTATCTCTTCAACTGACACAACCAGAAGCAATATTAGTGAGAACACTATAATTGTTTGGGATGTCATGCGACAAGTTCCTTTATCTAACCAGGTAATAGGCGTATAGCTCTATATTAGTCTGTAAGTGTATGTGGTTCTGATGCCATCTTTGTTAGTACCTTATGAACATGTTGCTTCTATTTGCATGCAGTCAACATGTGGTACAACACTTTAAAAAAAGGTCAAAATTTGAAACCTGGTTAGTTTTGTTATATCAGCCCTGTTAGAGATTATATTTTTACAATTTCCACTTGGATATATCTGTTGTGATATGTAGAAGTTGAACATAGTATTTCAGCATATTCATGAGAGAAGTAAAACCCGTCTAATCATGCTGCAGCACTAATGGGACTGGAGCATTGTAACAGAACATATTCTAGAAACCATCATAAGTTGTGACCGTATGTTGCACTGAAGTTCTAATTTAGCAGTTTGTTTGTATAGATTTACATGTTGCTCACTGTTGAATATCTGTTCTGCCAATTCTTGAAAAAAAATGGATTTACAATTCTTTGTTTCATAACCCATGCTGTATCTGCTGAAGTAGGTACCCCAAATTACCAACATGATTAGTCTATTACTGTTAGTTCCATATTATATCTGTGCCTTTGTAGTACTATCTCCTTTCAGTTTTATTTAAAGTTGGCAAATCTCTGTGGTCAAACATTATCAGAACATCAACATATTTAAAATTGTCAAAGTTGGATATATGAAAATGCCATTACTATATTTGTTGTTAAATTTAATTTTAAACTAAATTTTACAAGTCACAATGTTGTAAGTTACAGATAATTAACAATCAAAGTCACATTTTGAAGACTGAAATGTAAAATTTTATCTTACCCTAATATTAAACCACGAAGAGTTTTGGTCCTTTTCTTGTTTTTTTTTCTTTTTTTCTTTTTTTCCCTTTTTTTATAGAGAAACATCACTCTCAATTTCTATGTACGGTCAGTTTCTTGTTTTTTTTTCTTGTTTTTTTTTTACTTTTTTTTATAGGTGAACATCACGCTCTAGTCTATTTCTTCCGTCGTTAGTCCAGGGAGCGTATTTTTCAGTAACAGGGATTGGCCTCCTACCAGCAGGATGGAAGTTAACAGAATTCACCATTTGTATATCACAGGTTTATACTGAAGCATTCACATGCCCATGTGTAAGATACCACCCACGTGAAGCATCTTTTGTTGCACAATCCAATGGGAACTACATTGCTATTTTTTCAGCAAGGCCACCCTTCAAGCTGAACAAGTATATGCGGTTTGAAGGACATGGAGTGTGGGGTTTCCCTGTAAAGTGCAACTTTTCCCTGAGCGGAAGAGAACTTGCATCTGGTTCATCCGATGGATGCATTTACTTTTATGATTACAAGTCGGCAAGGCTTTTAAGGAAAATAGAAGCCTTCAAAGAAGCATGCACTGATGTTGCGTACCACCCAGTAATGCCAAATGTGATTGCTTCTTGTAGCTGGACTGGTGAAATATCTGTCTTTGAGTGACATGATATAATGCTTGGTACGGAAGTAAAGTTTAGTGTTTGGCAAAGTTTTTCGTCTGAGGATATAGACACAAACAACTCCCTGAGCGAGTTACAGAGAGTACAGCCTGTTCGTTTCGGTTGAAACGATCGTGGATTATTACTACTGGCTAGTTTGGTGTGAGAGAAAAATACTGTTTTGGTTTATAATCCACGATCATTTACGACCAAGCGAACAGGCTGACGAACAGGCTGCTGATGCTCCTCAGACGAGAATAATATGAATCCGTTTAAGTCTTCCAAGGTTGAGTTGTTTGTGTCTATATCCCCATGGGTCTCTTTAAATAGTGTTAAGTGAACCGCTAGTATAAATATATGATTTATACTGGTTGTTGACTTAGCACTACCGCCAGTGTAAAAAAAATGATTTTACACTGTTATCTTAAGTGACCGCCGATGTAAATCGTATATTTACACTAGCAATTTTCTTAAGGGGTGTGTAAACATTTAAGCTGTGGGTTTTCTTATTGTGCCACATTTACAAATTACACTATAAATACCCTTTCCTTCCTGACTAGAACTGTACAGGCTAGGCCGGCCACCTTCCATTTTTGGTGTCTTTGGAGGTCCAAAAATTGCAAAATATAAGATCCAAACGCACCCCAAGTTTATACAATAAAGATGTAGAATAACTTAGCATGGATTCCTCTTAAACACGCATGATGGCGTTGGAGCTCGTCCTAGGGTTGATACGCTTGTGAGAATTCCAGGGACTTTGCACCCTACATGTTTATATAGGCCAAGAAAATACCTTTAGCGTGGTTTATAAGTTGTACCAAGATTGCTTGACCGGCCAGAAAAGTCTAAATGGACATCACTATGGGGAGACTTCTCAGCATCGAAGACATATAACTTCTTGATTGGTCACAGACATGTATACAGTGGCGGAGCCAGGATTTATACTCAGGGGGGGCCGGCCGTCAGGAATTATACTTAGGGGGGTCGGCTCGGTCTTTTTCATTACGATAATTTTATTATGTAGTTGTGTTTTGTATAATTATATTATCTAGAAGATATTAATAGGTATATATGACAAGAATTTTATATAATCTCTCTCTTAATATAAATAAAAAATATTAAATCATACTACTATTTTTTTTTGTGCATGGCCCCCTGCCAGCCCCCCCTTGGCTCCGCCAGTGTATGTACACCAGGTATAAAAATAGTTGTGGAAGTGCTTCTGTGAGCCAAAACACAAGGTCTTCTGGCTTCTCTTGAAAGATTGACTAAGCACTAGGAACATTGTAAGGAAGAAAATTTTGCACGTGGAGTCTTATCTCTGTGTTCTTTGCCAGTTATCAGTAGAGGAGACTTCGGGGCATCTTTTTCTTGAGTGCCCTTTTGCCAAAGACTGCTGGAACTTGCTTGGCATTACCTTTCAGAATGGCTCCAGCCTCACATATTGCATTCTACAAATCAGAAATCAATCCCACCCGGTCTTCTTCATGATGGTGGCAATTCTAATGTGTTGGGCCATTTGGACGGTTCAAAATGACTTCATATTCAAGAATGTGCAACCAGATGTTTATGCAGCAAATGAAGTCTTCAGAAGGAGTTGACATTACTTTCACTATGGGCAAAGACAAAACACTACCGGAAACAGTAGCTTTCCCGTGTGCCACAGGGACTCGGTAAAGCCCACAAAACACTCGGCAAATAGCACACGACATCTACAGTGCCGGCAAACGTCTCTTTGCCGATTGTTTTCTATTGGGCACTCGGCAAATACTTTGCCGAGAGATGAAACCGACGCTCGGCGAAAAAAAGTAACGCGACGGCGCGGAGACGGTCACGACGCGTTTGCCGAGTGTCCTGGACCTGACACTCGGCAAACCTGCCTTCTTTACCGAGTGTCAAATACTGGACACTCGACAAAGACTGGCCTAGAACGTACAAATGTTGGCTTCTTTGCCGAGTGTCAGAGTGCAAACACTCGGTAAAGAAGACATTTTAGTCCTAGAATGCACAGAAATTTGCCACGTGTCCGCTTTGCCGAGTGTTTTTACCCTGACACTCGTCAAAAGGCCTGTGGGGGGTACGACCCCGGATACCCACGGTAGACTACATGGGATGTGCTGCCAGGGGTGGTCCATCCCACAAGACGAAGCCTTGCGGAGCACGGCGCTGCTCGGCATGCCCCGCAAGACACCGGGAAGATATCCTGAAGATGCGGCGTAATCTGTTAGGATATGTTACGATCTCGTGATCCCTGTAATCTGTTATTACTTTCCGGTTATCTCCTAGATATAACCGACTTGTAACCCTGCCCCCCAGACTATATAAGATGGGCAGGGACCCCCCCTCAAAACACACACAATATCATATGATCGCCAATACAAACCAACAGACCATAGGAGTAGGGTATTACGTCGTGCTGATGGCCCGAACCTGTCTAACTCTTATGTCTCTGTTGCCTTCTTGTTCTTGATTACGCGGACCTCTGTCGATCAATCTACCTTCGTGGGATACCCCTCAGAGGACTGCCGAGCATCTTTTATCGATAGTTGGCGCGTTAGGTAGGGGTGTGCATGCTGTTTCTATGACGAACAAGATGGTACGTTTTGTAGGCTCTTCGTCCTCCCCACTCGGCCAGATCTTTACGGTCGGAATGATCTCCTGGGTCATCAATGCTGCTGGAGACGGAGAGATCATCAAGCCGGTGCAGATCGATTCTACGCCGACCACGCCAACACCTGCAACAATAGATCCGATCTCGGAACCGCTTCCAAGGTCATCTTCACCAACAACTCGCCGCCTGCTCCCCCGCTATCCGAGGAAGCAGATCAACAATGACGATCTGATCGCATCCATCGATCAGGTTGGCTAGAAGCTCGCCGACTGCCTCTCTATCGCGGAATCGGCCCTGACCACTCTGGTTCAGCGCCGACCACCCTCCGATTCTGATCTATCGGAGGCTGGTCAGGAAACTCCAGGAGTTACAGCCGTCATCCATCAGGATACCCTAAGGGGCAAATTCGCCGACCAGGTGGGAGACATCTATCCTCTCGCCGACCAGATCGCTGACCAGCTCTTGCCGACTGTCAATATGTTGCACATCAGCCGACACCCCGAAGCATCCCTCCACTCCATCCTAGAGGAGAATCCAGACTCTGAGTCCTAGGGCTCTACGGAGACTGTCGTCGAAACCAATGTCATCCAACCTCCTTTCCCACCCTTCCGAGGAGGCGGGATCTTTAATGTCAGCATCGACAACCCTCCACGGGACAGAGAAACCGATGAGGACCGCGCAGCTCGCGTCAACAGAAACGTCAACCGTGCGCAGCGCTGAGCAAATGAGGCCGCCATTATGTTAGTCGAAGCTACTCGCAATGGAGAACAGCTCGACTCGCAAGGGTGGCCATGCCCACTCCGTCGCAACCTCGACGACAAATTCGTCCATGTTGACAGCCACGATGTTTACAAGACCCCAAGGGCCAATTTGGTCGTGGTTGCTAATGAGCTCGCTCGGCTTGAGCAAACGCCAGAGGTCGCCAAGGTCGCCGCAAAGCTCAAAGCTGCACACTATCCGGTCAACGAGATCCGCCAGGATCAGGGACCTTCCTACTCAACAAGCTCGAATCATCGATCCACCGCGCCAAGATCCAATCGCCGCCCTGGCAGAAGCCGTTTTGCCGACCAGCATCGTGATGAGGGACGACCCCTCCAGGAGGGAGCTAGGGGAAACCGTATCGACTACCCTCGCCAACATGACCAAGAAGTCAACCAAGATGTCCGAGCGCACATCAACAATCTCTGGGATGCGCGACGTCATGTCGACGGGCGCCGTTTCTCTCGCCATGAAGAGGAAGTACGCCGACGTTAAGAATACGAGCAAGAGTTCGGTAACCCGAATACAGCCCTCCAGCCACTTAATACTAGCAATGCTGTAGATCCCGATGGTGATGATCCCGAAGGGCCCCGAGCATTCACGAGAGCACTCCGAACACTCTAGTGGCCCCGTAGTTTCAAAATCACCGGGGGCGAGCCCTACGAGGGGCGGATGAACCACACACAGTGGCTACAAGCTTATGCCACCACTGTGCACGCCGCCGGGGGAGATGCCAATGTCATGGCCAACTATCTTCCCATCATGCTCACGCCAACCGCGATGAACTGGCTCACGAACCTCGCCCTGGATTCCATCGGATCTTGGGAACAGTTGAAGAAAGTCTTCACTAATAACTACATGGCTACGTGTACTCGGTTGGGCACCAAGCACGATTTGAATCGCATCTATCAGAAACCGTCCGAGCTCCTCCATAGCTACATCAGACACTTTTCCGAGATGAGGAATTCTATTCCCAACATCATGGAAGCAGAAGTCATCACCGCCTTCATCTGAGGACTCCATCACCGCGACCACCACTCCAAATTCAATCGTAAGCCGCCAAAGGGGATTGGTGAGATGATCACGACCACCGATCAGTATGCCGACGCTGAATAGGCCGAAGTTCGCTTCAACGAGGATGCGGGCACTCACCGCCCAACTCGCTGCAGCGACGAGCGCCCTGACGAACAATGCCACAGTGACCACCGCTACGACGACCGCGGTCACCATCATGACAGTGGCCGTGATCAGCCGGAAGGGTCCAAAGCTGGTCAGTATCGCCGTCGCCGACCAGACAACATCATCACCACCGTTGACGAACCTCGCGCCAAGCGTAACTATGACGAGCAGTACAAGAAGATCCTCGAAGGACCGTGCCCCCTCCACAAGAACAGCAAGCACAAGATGAAGGATTGCCTTGGCCTGGCTAAGGAGTTCCAGACCAAAAAGAACGACGACAACAACGACAATGGAGCCAGAGGTCACCGACCACCTGGGGACAACAACAACGCCTTCCAGGATCATGACAAAGTGGTCGCCACTATCTTCGGGGGCCTCGCCGCCACCGAGAGCAGAAGAGATCGAAAGCTCGTCGCCCGCTGGGTGCTCGCCGTCAACACAGAAGACGCTATCAC